AAGACTGATTTATTTTAGGATATTGTTATGGTTTTTAAGTTAAGTACCTGATATGTTGCCTAGCCATTTATTTTTTAAAGTACTTTAAGGTTAGAGATTATTCTTTAAGGTTAAACATTTTTTAAGAGTTGCTTATATGCTACTATGGGATACAAAATTGAATATCAGAAGTCACTATATAAATTGGACCCCATGCCATCATTGGGTATATATTATAAATGCGTATACTAGTCTACTCCGAGGGCTCACATAGATACTTCAGATTGATTTTTAGAATCTATTTTGTCACTACAGCGTTGCTTTGGGATGTGCTATGTGCTTTCTTCATTGCATCATGCATTCCGTAACAATCTTTCCTGACAGAATTGTGAGCATTTTAAGCTGGATACTAGAGGGCTGGACATTGGGGATTTTTAAGCTGCATTTCGTCATTGCTGCGTTGCTTTCTTCTCTGCATCATGCTTTCTGTGACAACTGTCGTGAGAGAAAGATGGGAATACAAAGCTGGGTACTACAGGGCTGGATACAGAGGATCGCTTTTTATACTACACTTCGTCATTGATGCGTTGGTTTCTACTATGCATTATGTTTTCCGTGAAAATCTTATGTGAGGGCTGGACGCAAAGGATCGTGTTTTAGACTCCATTTCCTCGTTGCGTTGCTTTCTACTATTCACAACGCTTTCTGTGATAGACTTTCTTAAAGAAATGGTGGGAACATGTAGCTGGATACTAAAAGGCTGGACACTGCGAATTACTTTATATAGTCCATTTCGTTATTGCTGCGTTGCTTTCTACTATGCTTTATGCTTTACGTGGCAGTTTTACTTGAGAAAATGGTAGGAATTTTAAGCTGGATACTACAGTTCTGGACAGTATGGATCGCTTTTTGGACTTCATTTCGTCATTGTTATGTGACTGTCTATCATGTCTCATGCTTTTCTTGACAAGCTTTCGGTGATAATTCAGAGGTGGTGAGGTTAGTTTGAAATCAACATATATTAACATTTACTAACTAATTTTAGCCTATTGTGATGTTATTAAAGTTTAGCGTATTGCTAGGAAGAGTCAAGCTACACTATCAATTCTTTTTAATACAACTTCTTGAGTTATCCTTCCTAAAATTTTGATTTTCTAGATGAAGTAGAAGACATCTAAAAAGTCAAATTTAATTCATAACACTGCCAGATCAGTAAGGGAACGGTCTACTAGATAGTAGCGCTGCATCATTTGTATACTTCAAGAGAAACAGAAAATAACTATTTGTTTTCACTTCTCTTTAATGGGCAAGTGAGTCAATGGTGTCCTAGAGCCGCATCTTCTTTATAGTCTGATGGAGATTTAGAATATAATTATTGGTATCCACTTCTTTTTAATGGGCAAGTGTCCAGAGCCGCATCCTCTGTATATTCTGATGGAGACTTAGATTATAAATATTTGATTTCACTTCGTTTTAATGGGCAAGTGTGTCAACGTTGTCCTAAAACCGCATTCTCTGTAGTGTCTAGTAGAGACATAGAATATTATTTAATAATACTTTTTTGTCAGGAGCAAGTTAGCTTATGATTCATTTTTGTTAATTTAATTATCAATTCGAGGATTCATTTACTATATAATAAATTCAGAATCGTTATTGATACATATAACACTCTTTGTAAATCGTTTGTCATTATAAATACAGTACATCCACAAAGTACATCCAACTATTAAAAAATCTTTTTATTAAGAATTCTACCGCAGTTCTTTGTCGTTAACTAGAGCAAGTAGAGCAAATAAGTCTTATAAGTCCTTTTGTTACTTCTCTGCATGTTTCCATACATTTTTACTGGGTAAGGATATTACTACTGGCGCCTTTATATGCAATACTTTTCATGCATTTTAACAAAAATGCATATTTCTTACTTATATACTACGAGTACATAAACGTTTGTGACCAATGCAACACTGCATTGTTGTGATGTCCTCGTGGAAATATCATATCCTTTGTGTAAATAAATAACGTAACATTTTTCAAATGCTGAAAAGTGGTACAGAAATGAAGAAAAATACTTAAAATTTTTGGTTTGATATGCATTTCCCTCAAGCTGCATTCAAACGATTTTTTTTTTTTTGCATGTAAATGCAGTTCCTTAAAACAAGCTAAATTAGTAAATAAACTGCGCATATCCTTTTCCAACTTATATATTGTGCATGCAAAATTTAATATTTGCTGATGGCGGGAAATTGTATGCTATAAAATCTAATCAGTCAAAGTGTCCTTTTTATAAATAAATACAAATCCACTCGTATGCTAAAATTTTAAAAATGATATATGCTCCTATAACAAATCAACTTATAATAGCGTCAGAAACCGAGATAACAGCAGCAACAAATACCAAAAGGATGTTTAGAAGAGAAAAAAGGAAAAATAACTATAAGTGTATATGGAAACAATGCCAGCAGTCAGTATAGCGTAACAACGGGCTTGGGGTCAGTTCGGGGTCATCAACGGGATTTTCAATTCACATAATGCCTGCCATATCCTTGCTACCGCTGTAATCTGACAAGGGATGTACTGGTGCTGCTGCTGCTGCTGCTGCTGCTGCTGTTGTCACTATATTTGTATATTTGTCGTTGCTGCAATTCCTTTCGGTACCCTTATTTTTTGAATGCATTTTTTACATTAAGAGGAGCAGAATTGCTTTGATTTTTTAATTTAGAATTTTTTTTAAGGTTAAAACTAATGAAAATTGTATGCATTTTTTTTTTGCATATGTAACGTTGCAAGTATGTTGACATTTTGCCTTACGTTATAGATTTTTTAAAAGGATCTCTTCTTTTTATGCTAAGGATATTTGTTTAGATTTTTTTTAAGAAAGGTTAAAAAATTATTTTTGTGGCATACTTTCAGCACACTTTTTTATAAGTTTATATGTTTTTTTGTTTATTTTTTATTATTAGACCTAAGGCTTAAGAACACACGCCATTGGTTTCTTGAGTTTTCATTTCTTTTGTATTTTCACTATCTCGTTATTATTATTGTTTTTATCTGAAGAGCTGATATAACCTTTGGTTATGCAAAGGTTCCGCCATTTCCTATATTTGTAGTATTTTGTTTAATCTTCTTTAGCATATGTTGCGTAAATTGATATTTTTTATGCATACATATGTGCATAATCCGTAAACAGTCCTACGTATGTTTAATTATATGTAAAAATGCACGCGCCATTTTCATTTTGAGTTTTAGTTCAAAGAAAAAATGTGTGGAAAGTACCTGGATTGTTAAATTGTATAGCTACTGCATATTCATTGAAGGGGGTGTTTTAGTGAAAGGGTGTTCATTTATATATAAGGGTTGATAAGATATGAAAATTATTTATAACTTATGATATGTATATAGTCTGACTAAATTCTATACAACTAGAATGTGTAAATAGAATAAAGTTAATTATATTATGCATGTTTTATATTACTTTTAATTATCAAGCAAACTATTAGTATTTATAATTAAATTCTTAAAATGTTAATGTTTTTTTGCCGAAAGTGGCGTACCTTATGACGAAATGAAACTATTTAAAAGTTAGAAGGATTCGTATAGCCCGTTTGGACTGTTAGTGCCACTCTTCGAACTCGTGCCTGTCAAATTAAAGATATTTTAAATTCTTAAAAGTTGAATTAATAAACTATTTAAAAGTTAGAAAGGTTCGAATTGAAATGAAAAGACAACAACGCTGTTTCGAGTATTGCTAAGTACACATCATCATGGTCTTAGTATACATTCGAATTTTTTAAATTAGTTTATAGCCTGTATAGCCCGTTTGGACTGCAAAAATTTTATAAATAAAACAAATTAAAATACTAGTAAAAATTCTTTATACTTAAAAATTATATAGAATCATAGTAATAAGTGAATAAGTGAAAATATATTAAGTAATATACTTAATCAGTAGCAAACTATTAATATTTATAAAAACTAAACATTATAGGAAATTATAATACTCAGTGAAAACATTTTAGTATACTTATTTTAGTTACCCATTATAGACAAGAATTGGACTTGGTCGCCTCTACTTGCCTTCGCCCCTCAGCCAAATCAGTGGCTTTGTGTTAACAATTGGTAGTAAGGATTACCATTATAACGTTGCTTACATGGTCCTACTATGCGGGTAATCTCTTCCGTGTTTTCTACCAACTGATACCGGATCAAATATCTTTCCGGTCGCAGCACTTTCTTCCATTCACATGTCATGAACAAGTCAGTTAAGCTGCTGAATTTTTATGCATTTAATTAAATCAATGTCGCAGTATAGCACATAGCTCATCGTTTTATCTAATTTAACACTCGTTGCCAATGCGTTAGAAACTATATATCTTTCTATGAATTTTTTTCACGAGTGCTTCTAACGTCTTTTCATCACTGTTGGTAACTGTGCAAGGTTTATCAATATTTAGGAATATTTAGGATCTAAATTTTTATGTAGAGTGTTTTCATCTGGCTTGCGTTTTTATGTCTGGAATGTATTTTATAGCAAAGTTTGCTCAAAATAAAGGTAAAAAGTCATATAGAAGTTTGTGTATCATTGTCAATATATAGTGGTATACTTCTACTTCTATTGTCCATTTTTCCCAGTGGGATATAGGGTCTGAATAATTCTTCTAATTATACAATGTGGTATACAAGGTGACAAAGTATATTGTACCACAAAAAAGCTTTTGCTTAAAACGCAGAATATTTAAAAATTGGATCGTTCCAATAGTTTCAGACATTATTTAAGTCCATTAAACCTATTTTTTTTTTTTTTTTTTTGATATTTCATGTTCTACATAAATCGATTTCAGTGATGTTTTCAATTCCAAGACTTAATTTATATTTTTACTTACCTTATCACATATCAATTACATTTAATACAATAACTCTATTCTAGCAGTTTTTATTATAATTAAATATTTTTTTACTTAATTGTTGGACCAAAAATATGTCTTAGCTTACCTTTTCCGATATCAAGAAAACTTACTACTGTATAATATTGTCCTAACTCAGGCTGTTTTTATTATTTTGAAATATGTTATTTACATTCTTTAGTATACTGAATTTTATCTACCGTTCGATTATTTTTATTATATGCATTTGTTTAATAATAGTTGCAATATATTTATAAATATATTGTTGTTCACCTAAGCTCGATTTTCCATGTAAAAATTAACTGACAATTTTTCGAGGGAAGTAGTTTTAAAAATTCACCAAAACATAAAATTAACTCAATTAAAACTAAAATATTTGTTAATGGTGAAGTTTACACTCTATTGTTCTCACAATAGAATCGAAAACTTTTTTGTCTTGGACCATTAAAACCTCTCATGAGTGTTTGAAATCATCCATGCAATTTCATAGAATTTATAGTAGGAGGTTTGTTATATTATAAGCAGATTTTATTTCTTAAAAGATAAGTCAAATGGTTTCCAGTTTATTACAAAATCATTGACTTACTTTTTTCCAATGCTTCATTATTACCCCCATATATCCCTTTGTAAAATTTAAAGAGTTTTAATTTTATTTGTTTGGTGGGACAAATTTCGACTTCTTTTTTTTAACCTGAACGTCAAATTCACTGTTCTCATTATCGCCATCGTATCCCTCGATATTATGTGTACTGGTACTAGGTTCAGGTTCCAGTATGTCGAGGCTTGAGTGAAAGTTTTCCACGCTCTGTAAACTACTGCATGATCCATACATTGATGGTTGTTTTCCTGAACTTGACACTTTAGTATTAGAACCGTTGTTGTTAAATAATTCAATTTTACCCTTTAAATTGATATTATCGTCTTCTAGTTCGACACCTGGATCATCCAGCATAGAATCAATTTTTTCAAAAGATTCTTTACAACGTTTGAACAACATAAGACTCTCTTTAAGAACGTGGCTTTGATTCAACTTCTCGAAATTTTCAAGAATTTTATTAATATCAACCTTGGCGCCAATACTAACTTTAGCCGGAACTGGTTTTATTGTATCCGCCAAGCTAACGTTTTCAAAAGTTTTGATGAGATCCTTTATGCTGCCCTTTGGTTTTGATGGCACAGTGGACATTGATTTCGACATAAGTGTAGTACCAACATCACCGATTTCCTGTATAATTTCCACGGACTCATGGATTACCTCATCATGCTTTAAGCGCAACTCCTGCAGACGGTTCTTTAGATCATTTAAATATACTTCCACACGTTGCGTATTGATGGCTTGTGGGGGAACTTTCGTAATCAAATTAATAAAATAAATGTAAAATTAATAAGAGAAGTAGTGCCAATATTGAAAGAGAAAATTTTACTTACTAAATGGAGGTTTAGATTTTGAGTTCATATTTTCTGCATCATCATTGTTTTCAGCCATTATTTATTATTGAATTAAATACAATTTTGCGAAGTTTTGATTTAGTTACTGTGAATTTAAGAAAAAAGTTAAAATTTTGATTCTACTTCAGCTTTGATATTTTTGTGTAACAACTTTCAGAACAATTCTTATATAAATGAAAATCTTTTTTTCTTTCCTGTATGTCAAAAATCAATGAATACTTGTTTAATATTTTTCGATAAGTTATAAATTTTATTAAATAACTCTATTAAATAATAAAAAACTTCTGTTATAAATATATACATATAGGCAATGGACTACTTTAAAATCTATATGAAGTATTTTCATAAGGAATTCATTGGTATATAATCATACTCTATGAGTGGTTTCAACACAACTCACAGTTAAACGAATATATTGAAACAATGACCAAATTCTAAGATTGTAATATTTTTTTTTGCAGCTAATCATAGTTGAACATCTTATCACACTTACACATAAATAATCCATGAATAAATTCATAGGATGATAGGATGAATAGTCTGCTGCAAGAGTCAAAGATCCAATCGAAAGCTTTTCAAACATATCGATGTTGTTTTTTAATACAATAAATTACTTTGGTTTTGGGTTTATCAATCACTCTTTCAATGGACTCAAATTTATTTTCCTACAGTAGTTTCTTTAGATCTAGCTCTGTAAGACGGACTCGGAAAATACTTTAGAATATACACCAATTAATAAAAGTGCAATATTTTTATCCATTATAATAATTTGCAATGTATATATTCTTTTTATTCGATTGAAAAGGCTTTAAACTGAGTTGGAAATCACCAATAGGTTGTTGCTTATACTCTATTAAAAACTAAAGCGATAAACATTTGGAATACGCCTTTTTTGTCATTAAATATTGATACAAACTAACATTAAGATCACGTTCTAGTATCTAGTATTGTGGTTAATTAAGTTTCAAAATGATTTTATGGAGTTTTTGTGGGGTCCTGAAATAATCACTGAATTCACGGAACAACAGTATTTAGCACTGTCAGTTATTTATGTTGTTGTTGTTTTTGTTGTTGTGGTTTGAGTTAGTGCTATTGCGCATTTTTACTCTGGTTTACTCTGGTTGGGTTCCTTATCCCTGCCCCACACTAAGCTTTAACTATACTAGAATTATTATCATTTGTTTATCTTTTAACTTATGACGGACCGTACATCAGCATATCTTCCTGAGGGCCCTGAGGTGGACTTAAGGTCAGTTATTTAAGTTCTTTAAAAATTTTACTTTAACTTTGGTTAAGTTCCTATTTTTTTTCTTTTATTATTAGTATATGCCCCACTACTATCTGGATTTTCAAATTGGCTTATTGCTTTATGTCCTCTCAAATATTCTGGGTAATATTCATGAAGTATCATTTATTGTGATGAATTTGGGTATCGAGACTAAATGGATTTCCGTTTTGACGTACTGTTCTTTATTAATTTGAATGGGGCATATTCAGAAATTGGGAATTAATACCAGAGATGGGAATGATATTCCTCTTGATATTATGATCCCTTGGTACAATCCTGACTACATTAATATCTATTGATATTCTATATCATATGAGTGTTTTGCTTTATAATTATATGATGCATTATATAATTGATGAATTCCACTGCACACAAACAAGTATATCACGACAGTGTAATAAATCAGATGTTGATAACGAATTGTATTTGAATATATAATTGTTATAGACCAGTAAAACTTTTGGACTTTCTTAGTGAAAGTTCTTACATATATTACTACAACGTCTGCATAATGATCGCATGCTGCTGATGATGTTTTATATATAGAGGAAGGGAAGTATACACTACGGCTGTGTATTGCATTAAGAGCAAGATACGTACTAATGTGTCACCTATATTCTAACATCGGTCTCTTTTGTCGATACAACATTGAACTCATAAAGAAAATAAAGTTTACATATCATGATAAGAGGTGAATATCTTCGATGTATATAGTAGTTTGATGAAAGCATTTTTGGGAACTGAGTGGTTGTGTAGTATAAACAATGAAAATTTGCTTAACCATTCTGAATAAAATCGACTAAAAATTTAATAGTTTTTTGAAGAAATACTTTCGTTAACTTCTGCTTCAAGAAAATCAATCAAATTTGGATAACTTAATAATAATGAACTAAAAATATATCCATTAACTCTTTGATGAACACAATTATTTCAAGTTTTTAAACTTTCTTCTATTCCATATCTAATACTATAAGAAGAATTCGTTAACTGCCATTTTCATTACATTGTCTAATGCCAGTGTGTTAGGTATAAGGATTTAAGTCTTACGGATGAATTCCCAACTTAAAAACGACCAAACTCGTATATATATATCTTAACAGAAATAAGTCTAAAGAAATTACATATCTTAATGTAGTATCAATATGCGTGCGTAAGAAGAATAGTGTCATCAAAGAGCAGGGGTAATCAAAGAGGATATGTATTCTTCGATAAAAATATGCAATATCATTTATTCTCAAGATTGAGCACGCATTTCCACACGCAAAAATGCATAAAAGGTTTTTAATTAAAGTAAAAGAAAAATAGACAATGAATAGGACGAATTAATTTAATGTCAGAGGTATGCACACGTTTAAGGGTGCAACGGTAGCGTACAGGGGTACTTAATTGTATATAATATTACAAATTCATTTTTCCATTCTTACACTAAGTTTTTATATACTTTTTTCATTATTCATATTTTTTTTTTTTGCATAAACGGAAAAGGATATGGTGGATTACAGCATATAACATACAAATAATTATATGAAATATATACGATATTTTGAAATTTTTTTATAGTAAACAGAAAGGGATGTGAATGTGTTTAGCTGCGCTGGACATTTGCAAAATTAATTTAATTTATAGCGCAAAAATCGGCAATAAAATCAGTTATGCTTTTAGTAAAATAATTATTTTGATGCTTGATTGAAAAGAACTTGAGTGGCACAATTATTCACAGCATTTATTATTAACATGGTTTAGGTAATAGTATTTATTTCATTCTTCTATTTCGTGAACAATTTTTAAAAGAAAATATTTAAAAGTTATCAGGCATCTGTGAGGTATTGTTTTAAAATCCGTTCTCTTACATTGTGGTTAATACCTATACAACTAATGACTAAGTTTTTTCTGAACAAATTCAAATATTTGTATACAGGTAGGTAGGTAGGTTGGACTAGTGGCACTGTATCCAAAAGCTCACTTGAGCCCAATTAATGAACCACAGGAATAGCGTTGGTACGTATATAGACTGAAAGATCAGTATTTGTATATTGACATATCATATATATTATAGATTGTTTTCTCTATAAATAAGCGCGAAATGCGGTTAGAACTATTAGAATGTGATAAATGCACTCTAAGCAAGGAAAGCACAAAAACATAGTCACTGTAGTTGGAGAATATCCTGATCTTATGTCTATAGAACAGAATTGTTCCGCAAATCGAATTGATCAAACATCGATCCAGACAAGTTTAAGACTTTTCTGTATATAATAGAAGTGAATCTTAATCTAAATCTTGCGGTGATTAAGAAAAGGGAAAGATACAATAGTCCAATAACTGGAGCAGTGTGATGGTCAGCTAATATAATAAGGCCTAGATGTAACTCAACTTATTTCACAATACGGCTCATATTCAGATAATTAAATGGCCAATTTTATTTTTGTTAAATTAACAAATTTTATATGTTTATATAATATATATTAATAATTTGGGGTATCGAAATCATGGAAAGTATATATTTAGCTTATATACAACTGCCGTCTTAAGAGCTATACTAAAGAATTGATAATTACTTGGGATATCCAATTTGTTTTCAAAATTTTATCGACTTAACTTAATATTAACAATTTTATTATATATAACAAAAATTGTTTAAATATTCCCGAGTATATTAAATATTTGATCTAATGCATACATAGCCTACAACTTAGTATATGATATGTATATTTATAGATATGACTATCTCCCCAAATTATTATCGTACAGAATTGTCCCTTAATTTTTTAATCTCATCTCATATTAGATCAAGTAACAAAATAAATAAAAAAATTTGAAACCATAAAATTTAATGAACAGACTTTTGTATGACAAATCAGAGGAGAAAACTTTCAGCTTCTAATGGGAAGACTGTGTAATTAATGTGCCAAGCGACAAATCCGATTATTTTTTAAGGTACGTATATCGAAGCAGGGGATCTTTATATGTTAGCGTACTAAATAGAGGCTAGCAGGCGCACTTTGATGTCAAATAAAGTGTGCAACACATTAAATACAGTAAACAAAATACAAAACAATGAATAGTACTTGTGGTGGTAATTAAGAGACTTGGGAAATATGCCAAAAACAAGGGACTAACTGCATTTCTAATTTGCTACCCGCACCCCACTTATTAAGCAACACAAGAATGCCAACAATTCGATATGTAAATGTGCGACTAATGAACACTTTTTATTGAAATTTAAGTAAAATAAATGTTTAATACCGAACCATGTCAATTAAAAAGAGTCACCGCTTAAGATTCCCTTTTGGTGATGTTCACTAAAAAAAAAAATAAAATAAATAAATAAAGATGCCACAACTGCCACGAGCGTACCACACTCTAAACATAGATACAAAATCCAACAGAATCATTAAAAAACTCTAAAATAATATCTAACAGAACGAGCCAGCATTTCACTATCACATCGTGCTGCTCTCGTTGTATGCAATGATCCCTCTGAAGATCATTTTTACTCTTCCTTTACAGTGGTTCAAGCAGCATGCGTCTGACAGCAAGCGAGGATGCGCATGTAAACCCAAAAAAAAGACACCAAATCATTAAAAAACAGTCTTAAAGTATAAAAAATATTCTTATGCTAATACTTCTTAGGTGAGTTTATTTTTCTTCTATTCTTGCCACATGCAACATATAAAAACACCGTATTTTGATAGAGAAGTAACATGCGGCATGTCTTCATGCTTCATTACAGCAGCAACGGTATAAGAGAGGTCAGTCAAGTAAAAAATGATTAAGAAAAAAAAAAAAAATACAAATGACAGCAAAAGTAACCTCTACTTCAATCTTATTTTACCTAAGGATGCGATTTAAGCATATGAGCATCGACGATAGCAACAGAGATCGAAAGTATCGAGGCTGAAATGCTAATGTATCCTTAAAAATTCGCAGACAGCCATTGACGTGTGTGCTGCGCGCATGCTACAATAATGATCTCCCCTCTTGTTTTTTAAGAAACCATTTAACCCCCCAATAAAAAATCATTTAGAAAAAAATTTGACTATTTTTATGGTTATTTTTACCTTTCTTCGAGGCCTCGATCAATTTGTTATTGTTTGTTCGAAGGATTTCACAAATCCTCGTTTTCTTCTTTACTTTGCTGCTCTAAGGAGAAGAGATGAGAGGTTTTTGAGGATCTTTTTTTAAGACCATTTATGTCTTCGTCTTCGGTATGTTGTTTATTTTTCTGTTTTTTAATGCGATTTTTATATTAGATTTTTTTATTGATCGTTTCGTGTTCCCAACGCGTGCTCATTTTTTAATGCATCCGAAAATTTTGATTTTTCTTTAATATTTTTAAACGTCTTAAAGTATATTTTGATATAGTTTTTTTATGATGAAATTTTTATGACGTATGAAATATGTTTTTTGTACGATTTGACTTGTGAATCAAAAATTGATTGATGTGTTTTACAAAATAATAAATGTTTATGACTTGATGTGAATAGTTCTTAAAACATTAACTTTCATGATCCGTTTTATATGAAATTGTATATGTAAATATACAATAGACTTCTCCCAGAGGAGATCATCAAATAATTGCAGTTTTCGTGGAGTTCTATATTTTTGAATTTTTAGTCCCGAAAGTGATTAAAGACTATTTAATCAAAATGCTAAGAATGAAAGTACAGGCTTTGACTCAATAAAGTTTGCGAATCTATCTATCTAGAACAGAACTGTTCAGAACAGATTAGATCGCGGGCCAATACAAGTTACTGTACAGATTGGAGGGTCATAGAAACAAATACATACGTTCATAGTTGTTTTGTAGAAAAATATATATACCGTTATAACGTTAAATTTACTTTCATCAATTTATATTTCTTTATTTGGTATATCATAAAAATAAAATAACGTAATTCTATCGAAATACACCAAAAGAAAATTTGAATAATTGTGGTAGATTAGAAACATGCCGCCGGCCGCATAAACATTAGCCGCTGGTGGCATGTAGCCCATGGGCCTTGTTTTGGACAGCCCTAATTTAAAATAAACTAGATATATTCTCTATTATTTAGAAATCTACTATAGATATAAAATAGTAGATAAGATCAGTATTCTAGATTAGATATAAAATCTATTAGAAAATATTTGAGTTTTTTCTCTATAGAGAAATAGAGAATATAGTAATTCCGCTATTTAAATAGTTATTCCATAAATATGGAAGTTTAGAAGTGTTTCCGGCACTGAAGCAACGGATGTTGGGTTAAGATATGAACTTCTGTAATATAGGTTCAAAACAAGCACAATAATTTTAAACACTATTCCCCAAATATATTATTAAAATAAAAAGCACGTTTGTTATTATATATAAGAAGGATCCAGTACCATATTTGCGGCACTATATTATTTCAAAAATATTCTTAAATAACTGACCAATATCATCATGTTTGGTGAATTTGAAGACCCATATGTGATACATATATCTAAATATTTGTATATATTTGTCTGAAAAATGCTCATAAATAACTTGATTTCAGTTTGTGTTTTTTTCTCGATTGTTGAAATAAATTAAATGTCATCTATGATATTTGAACGTATTAAAACCACCTCTCCACAATAAATAATGAATTGATAAATGTTAAAAATGGCTGTTAATGTTAATGTTAATATACAGAAATCCAACCCCATCTAAATTAAAGGAGCTTCTTGTTACGGTGAAGAGAAAATCTCAAACTAGTGTTGGAGATATTGGTTATTAACATATTTTAAATCAGATGTAGGAGTAGAATTGTTGAAAAACTAACGGAAATTAGTATTTCTGATTTGAAATTTAAATTTAATTTATATCAGCCAAAGCGCGAAAACCATGGTGAAGATTGGTGAAGACTGGTGAATGGAATGTAATATAGTTTGTTGCTTTATAGAATAAAGCAAGAACGAGGTGTGATTAAAAGTAACGAAAATGGTTGATTCTTTAAAAAGTACTTAATAGGCTTTACATTTAAAAATTTAAATTTATCCAAAACCCGTGGGATGTATATATAAATACTATACTATGGTCAAACTACTTAAATTTTTTTCAAAATCACTCTTCAACTCTCCCATATTTTAGAATGTCTTTCTCATATCTTGGTCTGCTTTCATAGTCCCTAATGGATTTGCCAATTAAATACTGAAAATATTAAAAACTTGTTAGATAAGATTTTGTATCTTAATTTCAATATTTTTGCTGATTGTATAGATTCTTTGTTTATTACACATTTTTACTAACCGACCAAGCCTGTCAGGCATAAAAACTGCTTACTCACCTATTGGCCAAAATTCGTGCTATAGTCGAAAATTATGAACTCATGCTATAATGCAAAAAAAAATTACTATGTTTTGTTATTTGGTGAGTTACAAAAACAGATACAATAATCATAATAATAATAAGGATATTGAACATATAAAATTAATGAAACGCAAATATCCTTTTTACGCTGAAGTACAGCGGTGGAGTACACAATTCCAACTTAACTATTTCAAATTTTAAGGGAGCGTATATGGTATATAAATAGGACTCATATAATAGTTTCATTTTTCCCGACTAGATAATTAAGTTGCCATTGGAAGAAGAATCCCTGTAACACTTAACGCAACTACGGTACTGTTCATTTTATCTACAAATATACGCATAAAAATGCAATAATAATGTTGCTCATTAAAAGCGCGCGTCAATCAAATGTACAAATTCAAACAGAAATTAGGGAAAAATCGGGTAAATAGAAGCAAAATGTAAAAAAGGACAAAACAAAATCCATTAATCCAAGAAATCCTTTGCCTATGCATAACAATATTGATATCAATACTTTTTGCGTAATGTCCGGTTAGTGCGTTTGGCGCGTTTTTACACGTACTCTCTTTGCACGTACGGCAGAAGTTCTGCTCGCCGTAGTGTACTCATATGTGGGTCTAGTCCAGCTGTTGCCTATGAAATTTCGATTTTTCAAAAAAGGGAAAGTAAAGGATATGTGTTGGTCACTATAGAGACGCGCACATACCTTAGAACTATCACAATAAGTTACTACCTTAGTGTTACTATGTTTATTTTATCTGAAAGGGGGTAATATAAACGAAAATTTAATTGCGTGTATAACGCAATGTCCGGCCGAAAAGTAAACAGTTTTCCGGTCATCTGCATAGGTATGGATGTTAGTGCTCGTATGAGGCAGGCGTACATATGAGGCAAGTGAGGTGGTAAAGAGTAAATTGAAAAAATAAAATTTTATTGATGGACGCAATATGTGAAATGGTATAGAATACGGACTATGTAGTCTCTAGAACGGAAAAGGGTTTGGGGGTGTTAAAATATTTAGATAGTATATTATTATTTTGCACTTTTCTGTTTGATTGAATGAAGGAGAATAAAAAAAATGTTTATTTTTGAATAATTAGAGTATATAAATATATTTCTATATAAAATACTGAATACAGTCATTATTTGAAGAATCCTCTGTTTAAATACATTTCTTTTAAATATAAGAAATATATTTTATTACGTTTAAATTGATTCTGCTGATGACGATGTATGATGTATGTAATATATTATACATATATTACTATATAAATGAATATAGTATAAAACTCTAATTGAAACAAAATTTCACTAAGTGTTTCTCTATGAATAAAATAAATAAACGTTATCGTCAATCACTTTTCGATTTATAGCTGCAATTTAAAATACTTTCCACAAACTTAACCAAATCGATAAGGAATACATTTTTTGGGGGTAAAATATTAAAATTTGTCGAAAAAAATAACAATTTATACTTTTCTCTATTTTATCCTGAAAAAATGTTTATTGTGTATTCATATGTGTGAATTATTCCATGCAGACTCAATATTTGGTTCACTGTATGAGTCTGTCGCAATGTGACAGGATAAGCACGTAACCGTAAGTCCAAGTGTGTGTTTTGCCATAAAATAGGGTTTCTTTTTTGAGTTTTTATTCAAAAAATATTTAATAGTATAAAATGAAATAAAATGTTGTTCTGTCGTTTTTATTGTCAAAAATGAAAAAATAATTTCTTTTTTTTTTTTTTGAAAATTTTGCTATTGTGTATCCTTGCATATGAATAGAGTAGTCCTTTGTGTGTTGCGTCTGCTGCATAGGGAAGCAGCGTTAAGGGGCAAAGGTTATCTATCACAAAGTAACCGTGTTTTAGCGTGTTCTCCATGGCAAGGAACAGCTGCTCTTGGCGCGAGTTATTCCTAAAAACAGTTTGTTGGAAATGATGTGTTAAATGTTTAAGGTTGTTTTTGTTTTAATTCTTTTTATTGAGTACAATCGAACTATTAGTAATCAAATATTTTTAAGCTAATATATAAGATATATAAGGTATATAATAACATATAGATATTATGTTATTATTGGATGTTATTATTAGTAAATTACAGATAGCACAAAATCTAGCTTTAAGAAGACTAATTAAGATTCCTTGGTATATTAGGACAACAGATATGCATAGAGATCTAAGGGTTGACTCAGTTAGGGCTCGACAGAGCCCTTAAATTATTCACAAAAGTCGATACGTTGCCCAACACCATCCTAACAAACCTTTATTCCACCTCAGGACGCACAGGAAGATACGCTGATCTATGGTCCGTCATCAGTCAAAAGATAAATAAATGTTAATAATTCTAGTATAGTTACAGTTTAGTGTGGGGCAGGGATAAGCTCCCAACCATAAAAGACTAAAACTGCGTAATAGCACTAACTCAAACTACAACAACAACATCAGTAAATTATTACTCTAGAGAGCCCCGCCACTGCAACCAATACATTAAATTTAATTAAATTAAAATTTAAATATATAGAAAAGTTCTGTAAACAACTAAACTGTCTTTACGACTCAACTGCATATTTATAATAATAAAAAATGTAATAAAAAAAATAATAATAGAGCAAAAAAAATATTTTAACATTGACCGCAATATGTCTTCTGTAGAAAAAAAAACATTAAATAAAACCACATAATAATAAAACAAATAATTATATATAATTATTTTACTTTAAACTGGGCTCCCAATGACGGTGTTATCGAATTCTTTATTTTTTATTGAACTCAAAGATTATTTAAAGAAGTCCATCTTATATGTCAATGGTTTTATTTCTTTCTATTATTTGTGCGGAATATGTAATGCATATGTATCATGAAAATGAACATTATAAAAATATATATTATACGTAACATCGTTTGTTAATCCTTTAGTTAGCTACAAGAAAACTAACGAATAGATTTCTTTGATGCTATCAAAAATATTTTTACAAAGAGATTTTTGAATCCCGCAGTTTAAGTTAAATGACAATTATATCATGCAGTTTCTATATAG